AGTCCTGGTCTGGGTCCAAGGCGAGTGTTAGTGATCTTGTCCTGAGTTGTTATCCTGTCCCCACGGCTGGCGAGTAAGCCCTACGAGGACTTGGTATCCCCACCCCACCCCAACTCACACCTCACGCGGTACTTAATAGAGATTTAGTAAATGCCTTTGTGAGTTTTTGAAATCCTGAAACACTAGAGCTAGATTGTCTAGACCTAACCTCTTAAGTGGAGCTGTGGAAGCTGAGGCTCAGCGAGAGGGTCAGGGGGGATTTGTCTGAAAATGTGAACAGGCCATGCAGAGCAGAGACTAAGACTGGGGCTCATGCCTGTCCTCCAGAGCCTATCTTGTCACTGTGCACAGCTGCCCAGTTGCTTCCTCTTCTCCCACCCCAGCCCCAGAGAATGGTGAAGGAGGTGAGGGGTGGTCCATGGGTGCCCTTTCTGGAGGACTCCTTTACCACGTAGCCTAGGAGAAGTACAGGCATCCATGGACTGCACATCTGCCAGTATCCTAGCCCTGTGATCTCCAGCCCTCAGCAGTCCCTTGAGGAAGGGATTGGTGTCTCCATTTTGGATGAAGAAATGGGCTGAGGGAGAGAAAGACACTTGCCAAAAGTTTCCCAGTTTAGCAGGTGACTCCTATGCTATGTTTTCACTCCAAATCAGAGAATTGATCTGAGAATGGCAGTTTTCATCTCAAGGGCAAACTCTAATCAAAGGGTAGAGAGACATGTTGAGAAGAGCTCTGAGGCCCTGTGCAGGTTTCCTAGGGAGTGGTGCTGTGATTGATTGATTATGTCTGCAGGAGATATGGGTACAGGTAGAATGAAAAGGCACAGTCTTTCCATAACGTGTCTTCCACCCATTGGGGTCTCATTTCTCTATAGGAGTGTTTAGCTCCTTAGTCTGACCTTCCCAACCAGCCCTTCTGAGACCAGTGGGACCCTCATTACCATTTCAGATTCACGACTGAAGGAACTGGACCAGAGAAGGAAAGTGACTATCCCAATTAGCACTGCAAGCTGTCCAAGGCCCCTTGCTCTCTATGAAGGTTTTTCCTCTCCATGGAGCTGAGGCTGGTAGGTTTTGTCAAGAGGAACTCGCATTACTCATCCTTTCCCAGACCTGCAGCCTGTTGAGAAATTGCGTAGTGTGGCCTGCTGGAAAGAATGACTCCATGAGGGTGCCAAGGATAGCGTTGACATGCTTGCCACAGGAAGGACGAAGAGAGATGGGCCAGGCCCACCCTTCCCCGTCTGGAGGAAGGCAGGGCAGCCCACACTGCGCCTTTCCCTTGAACTGGGGTCCCCACCAGGTGCCCTACTTCTACCATTTTGTTTCTTCTTCATGACAAAAACTCAGGAGTCTGGATTCCTCGCTTTTCTATATCCAACCCACTAGCAAATTCCATCAGCTCCACATTCAAAGTACACCCAGATTCAACCACTTCTTACCCCCTCCTCTGCCCCTTCAGTAGGCCCCTTTGTATCTGTCCTTCACATGTGAGGTGGCTGTTAGTATCCCATTTTACCGATGAGACTGAGGCTCAGAGATTGTGGCTACCCAAGATTAGAGAAAGCAGAGATGGCCATGAAGCAGTCCTATTAGGAGCCTTTGCTACTTTCTTTATATATATATATATATATATATATATATATATATATATATATATAATTTTATTTTTTTAGTATGAGAGGATATGAGGAGGGATGTAAAGAGATTAAGGCATGTTTAAATCACTCAGAGTTCTATCTAAAGAAAACCACTGATGTGTTGATATATTTTCTTTTGGCCTTGCTAAAATTAGGATTTGGGTTGGGTTTTTTTTTTTTAATGCATAGTTATAGTTTTCCTAGACATGTAATTTATCCTTATGATACCTAGCATTATGGCCTTAGCCCTCTCCATGAGCTTGCAAACTGCTGAGCATTATTTTTACCAACTCCGTAAGATCCCTAGGAGAGTCAACAGCCATCATGAGTGGCCAGGGAAGCCCTGGGCCCGGAGTCAGGAGGCCACTGGGGTCTGTGGACAAGTGATTGCACACTCGCTTATCACTACAGTAAGGGACAGTTCTGGGTCCTCCCAGCATCAAATAAGCAAAGGCCCTTGTGAACTCTAAAGGGCTAGACCCTGGCAGGAATTTTCCTTATGTTCCCTCAGTCTCTTTCTCCTGCCCTCCCAGTGGCTCCTGAGCCTTTTGCTTCGGGGCTTCCTGCAGCAGTGCCAGGGCCTAGCATCTCTGGGGCAATCCCATGAAGGCGCTTCGGTATGTTACCCCAAAGGGGACATTTCCTCTGAGCAGAACAGGTGCCCTGACTTTCAGAGACCACCCGCCCACTCCTCTGCCTATGCCCACTTCTGGGCCCACAGTTGTGAGGCCTCTCAGGGATTTCTCCCTTCTCTTTCCCCACCAGCCTGGGACACCCCTGAGAGGCCTCTGGGCTCTGCTGTGACCTCAGGAAAGCCCCTGAGCCATTGATACTAAAAAGCTTGGCACCTACCTCATCACAGCAGTCAGTTGTGGGTAGAGAGCTTGGCCCTAGGACTCGGGACACCTAAACCCTTCTTTCCCCAGCAACACGCAGAAGTATACGTTCCATGAACCAAACCAATGATGAGGTTAGGAAGACCCAACTTCCGTTCCCAGCTCCACCACCTCCCTTTTCTCATCCTCGCTTCTTCCGCTCTAAAATGGACATAAGACTGCTGACCTCCTCGAGGGACTGAGGGTTGTATGGGAGAACATGTGTCCAGCACCAGCACATAGGGAGGTCTGGCTCTGACTGCCAGTGTCAGCGCTTTCCAAGTGAACATCCAGGCCTGGCACGGAACAGGGGCCCAGGGAGAGGTGTCCACTGTGCAGGGCTGTGCAAGGGACTGTCCAGGACGCCCTGAGAGTGTCCCCAGCCGCTATCTGCTAGGTCTCATTTACAGCCCTGCTCCTTTTTCGTCTGCTGCCCCTCCCTCCCATGGCCTCCCATTTCTATAGTGACCCAGAGCGATGACCACTTTGCATGCATGCATAGCTCTCCCCAGTTTGGATTGCACTTCAGTGAGAGCCAATCAACTTATGTGAGGAGGGCAGGAGAAGAATTACGGCTTTGTGGTTCCCAGGACCAGGCTGAGGCCCGGAGAGGGTGGTGAGAGGCCCCCTATGCGGAGGCGTAGGGTTTGGGCTGTGTTTGGGCTCCCAGTTACATAAGCAGGAGCTCACGAGAGGCCATTTGGCATTTAATAAGCACCTTGTATAATCACCTTTGGGAACCAAAGGGAAATCTCGAGGTATTTTCTTGTGCCTGTGCTGTTTGTTTAAACCCCAGGAAGAGTGGATAGGAGCAGATCAGCTTAGCAGGGGAGGTGGGGCCCTGAGCGGTAATGAACCCCTGTGGTAAAGCTCACACAGGAGAACAAAAGGTGCCTGAAGCAAATTAATTCTTTCCCTTTTGGTTCCAGACACTGGAGCACTCTATCCTCCCTCAGTTGGGACCAAGCCCAGGATGCACCTGGGCTGGGTTTAATCCTCAAATTGGACTCCATAATAGAAAGGGGTGGGGAAGGAGGGGCCCCCTGAGGGGAGCAACGGAGGAGAGCCCCACTGCTTCCTGCCCCCATGCAGGGCCAGTGAGGATCAAGTAGCTACCCCTTTAAAGTTTCATGGCGGGCTGGTAATACTATCATGCTGCTCCCTCCCCGCCTACCCCAGACTAGAAGGTGGGCAGGTCCCTGGTCCATCCCTCCCGGAAGACCAGTGGGAGAGATGGTGGCGGTAAGACAGAGCAGGGGGCAGAGTAGGGCTTCCCCAGATGAGGAGGCCTGCGGGAGTGAGGCTTCGTGCCTTCCGTGCCCCAGCCTGAGGGGATGCTGTGTGGTGGGATGGGCTCACCACAGACTGTCCAGTGAGACGCTGTCACTGCTCAGCCCTCTTCCTCCTCCTCCCACGAGCACCACCACGGAGCGGCAGCAGGCACGCTCGGAGGCTCTGGCGGACAGATGTGCGTGGGTGTGAGGATTGAATGTAAGCGTGTACGTGTAGTGCCTGGCACCGGTGGCAGCTGCGCTCTAATTGTACGGGGACATGCTTGCTTGTATCCTAACATGTGGCTTGTTATCATAACATATGGCTGGGGAAAGCCCCTCTTGGATCTTGTCTGTCCCCGACAGTCCTGCCAGAGGCAGCAGATGAAAATAGAGGAGTTGGAACTGAGCAGACCTGGGTTCTAATCCTACCCTGCTTTTTACTACGTTGGGGTAAACCCTTTTCCTGTCTGAGACTCTGTTCCTTCATCTGTGTAATGGGGGAGCCAGCCCAACTGCCTGGGTGAAAGGAAGAGCCAACGAGGGGTAATAGCTGTATCAGCTGGGGGTAGGGGCTTGGGACGGGTATTCCCAGAGCCCGTCCTGAAGTCTTTACAATGGAATTTGTTACATAGATAGTTAGGAAGACATGAGCAGAGCAAGGACGATGGGCCACGTACAGAAACTCACCAAGGCAGAAATGATCTAACGATGAGGCCTCTGATCTTGTCTTCTTGAGGGAAAGATTTCAATCAAGAGACCAAGTGTGGCAAAGTGAGTGAGAATTTATTGGCCGCAGCAAAAACAGATTTAGGAGAGTGAAACAAGGAAGGGCATGGAAGAAGCAGCAGGAGAGTCTAGGCTTTGGCTCACAGAGACATCCGAGGAAAAAAAAGGGGGCTTGGAGACAGGTTCAGGGAGTTAGTTCAGGACGAGCTGCTGCTGCCCACTGCTCCCCTGATTGCAAGTCTTATGGGGTTCCTTAGTGGAAAAGGGGAAAGGAAATGGCATAGGCATGCTGGGGGGCAGAGGGGGAGAGGGCGGGGAGAGGCAGGGAATGGCAGGGAATGGCATACCCTGGGTTCTTCCTTCCGAACGTGTTTATTCCTCTCCTGCAGATGGAAATCTTAGGGGAGGTCTCAAGGGAAGGTCTCAATAGAATATTCATCAGCTTTCCAGGTGAGCTCTTGCAAGGTCATGATCTCCACTGATTGGTGGGTGCCAAGGCAGGCGGTCACTAGTCAGTGTAGCTGGTCCTGATGCAGCCAAGGTGTCACTTGTCTAGTTTTGCTGCTTTTCTGGGCCTGGAGCTGAAATACAACTGAGACCTCAATGTTACCTTAGGGAGGAAAAGGCAGGGGTCTCTAAACCACAGGACCAGCAATATGCTGTGGGAGGAAGGTTACCCTGGGGGACGGGGTTCTTGTTTTTCTAGTTTTGCCCCCTGCTAGGTATCCAGGGCTTTCTGCCCTGGTGAGCTGCTGTACCTGGCGCGGCGTCCTTGCTCTGCTCTTGTCTGCCTAATTATCTGTATAACAGAATGAAGGCTCCAGCCTCTGGAGGATAGGCCAGGGGAGGGGGCTTAGGACTGTAGACTCATCCATCATCACCCACAAAAGAGGTGAGGTGAGCCGAAATTGGTTTTGCTCAGTGGATAGAGCTTCGGTCTAAGGACTGAAAGGTCCCGGGTTCGATTCCGGTCAGGGGCATGTACCTTGGTTGTGGGCACATCCCCAGTAGGGGGTGTGCAAGAGGCAGCTAATCGATGACTCTCTCTCATTGATGTTTCTGATTCTCTATCCCTCTCTCTTCCTCTGTAAAAAAATCAATAAAATATATAATAAAAAAATAAAATAATTTTTAAAAAAGGTGAGGTGGGGCCAGTCCCTGCAGGGAGAGGCTTCCATCTGGGAGGCTGGTGTGTGGGTCTTGGGCATGACTCAGCCCCTGCCAAACAGTGACAGTGAGCCATGCTTCCTCTGCTCCTTCTAGCTCCCCTCCCAGTTAACGTGTGGCCATGCATGGCTTTCTGAAGCTAAGTCTCAATTCCCTCTTCATGAAGCAGTGACCATTTTTGTGGTTGTGAGGGTCAGGCCAGTCTGTGCGGCGGCTAGCACAGCACCGGGCACATGCTCAGCACCGGTGCATGGAACACCCTGACGCCAACCCTGAGCTGTGAGCCCCTCCCCATAGGGCCTGGATTGAGACTAGCCCAGGGCCCAGGAACATCCGGGCTCTGGAGGCCAGCCAAAGATCCATCCAGTCCAGTGTGTTCCCAGCTGGGCTCCTTACCCTCCTAGGGCAGAGATGGTGAGCAGGCATGGAGGCTCTACGCCTCAGCCCTCACTTCAGCCAGAACAGCCCACTTCCATGTGATAATATTTAAGAAAGAGTTCTGCCACCTGAAGTTTAAAATCCACCAATCTGGTCCAGCCAGCGTTGGAGTGGCGACCTAAGAACCAGGAAGTCACGGTTCCATTCCTGGTCAGGGCACATACCCAGGTTTCGGGCTCCATCCGCAGTACAGGGTGTGCAGGAGGCAGCCAATCAATGATTCTCTCTCATCATTGATGTTTCATCTCTCTCTCTTCCTTCTCTAAAATCAATAACAATATATATATATATATTTATTTATTTATTTTATTATTATTATTATTTTTTTAATCCACGAATCTGTCCTAACCTCTTTTACCATACAGATGGGGAGAGCGAGGCCTGAGGGGAACAGGGACAAAGAATTATATGAGGAGTATTCAGGGAAAGAATCCTGGGAGGGCAGGGTGCTGGTGGTAACTTTCAGCTGTGCCTAGACACATTGGCTGGTGCAGTGGTCGGCAAACTGCGGCTCTCAAACCCATGCGGCTCTTTGGCCCCTTGAGTTTTTAGCAAAGGCCAGCCTAGGAGTACCCTAATGAAGTTCATAACAATGTACCTACCTATATAGTTTAAGTTTAAAAAATTTGTCTCTCAGAAGAAATTTCAATCGTCGTACTGTGGATATTTGGCTCTGTTGACTGAGTTTGCCGACCCCTGGGCTGGTGTCTTATGGGGCTGGGTTGGTACCACCTGGTATGGGGGTGCCTGCTCTCCACCCTTACCTGTGGCTCTCTTTCTAGCCTCGACCATGCCGCTGCCCCTGCTGCTGCCCCTGCTGCTGCTGCTGTCCGCCCGCTGGGTCCAGGCGACCCGGCCATGCTTCCCCGGGTGCCAGTGTGAGGTGGAGACCTTCGGCCTCTTTGACAGCTTCAGCCTGACCCGCGTGGACTGCAGCGGCCTCGGCCCCCACATCGTGCCGGTGCCCATCCCTCTGGACACCGCCCACCTGGACCTGTCCTCCAACCGGCTGGAGACCGTGAACGAGTCGGTGTTGGCGGGGCCAGGCTACACCACGCTGGCCGGCCTGGATCTCAGCCACAACCTGCTCACCAGCATCTCGCCCACCGCCTTCTCCCGCCTCCGCTACCTGGAGTCCCTCGACCTCAGCCACAACGGCCTGGCCGCCCTGCCCGCAGACAGCTTCACCAGCTCGCCCCTGAGCGACGTGAACCTCAGCTACAACCGGCTCCGGGAGGTCCCGCTGTCCGCCTTCACGACCCGCGGCCAGGGCCGGGCGCTGCACGTGGACCTCTCCCACAACCACATCCACCGCCTCGCGCCCCACCCCGCGGGCGCCAGCCTGCCCACGCCTGCCATCCAGAGCCTGAACCTGGCCTGGAACCGGCTCCGCGCCGTGCCCGACCTCCGGGACCTGCCCCTGCGCTACCTGAGCCTGGATGGGAACCCGCTGGCCGCCATCGGCCCGGGCGCCTTCACCGGGCTGGCGGGCCTAACGCACCTGTCGCTGGGCAGCCTGCAGAGCGTCCCCCAGCTGGCACCCTATGCTTTTCATGAGCTGCGCAGCCTGCAGGTCCTGGACCTGTCAGGCAACCCCAAGCTCAAGTGGGCAGGCGCCGAGGTGTTCTCGGGCCTGGCCTCCCTGCAGGAGCTGGACCTGTCGGGCACAGGCCTGGCGCCCCTGCCTGAGACGCTGCTCCTCCACCTGCCAGCGCTGCAGAGCGTCCGTGTGGGCCGGAGCACGCAGTGCCGGCGCCCGGTACGGGAGGGTGCCTACCCCCGGCAGCCTGGCTCCAGCCCCAACGTGGCTCTGCACTGCGTAGACACCGGGGAACCGGCCTCCAGGGGCCGGGGCACCTTGTGACAAATGGGGTGGCCCCAGGCCACACGACAGACTGCCACCCGGGCTGACTCGGGTCCCGGGTGATTTATATTTTAATGTGCCAATGCCGGTGGGGACTCTGCAGGCCTACGTGGCGGCAGCATCAGGGAAGACAGCTGTGGACCGAGAAGAGGCTTTGGACCTGGGACAACACCCAGGAGGAAAGTCTTGCCCTCTGTCTGTATTGTCCCCCAAACCGTAAGCAGAGGGTCTTTGATGCCAAACGACACAGCTGCCTCCCTGCTGTCCTTCCCCACTCGACCCCAAAGTGCCTTCCCTCAGGCCTGGGCCAACCTGACTATGACCGAAGGGAGGTCAGAGGTCAGGTCCATGGCTGAGTGTCCCCTTGGGCCCATGGTCCAGCCACTCAGGGGCATGGGTTTCTTTTGCTCTGGGCCCATGGGGCCCACTTTATCCTCCTCTGTTCCCCTCGAGCCCTGGGTAGAACTTTAGTTACAGAAAGAACTTGGTGCGGGGAAGGGGCGCACATTTAGGGAGGATCAAGCCCACCTCCTCCTGTGGCAGATGAGAGAACTGAGGCCCAGAGAAAGAGCATTGTCCATCTGAGGCACTGCAGTGGCAGAGGCATCACTGCCTCCCAGCCAGGCCCCTTTGCACTTTGCTGTCTTCTCTCAACCATGGCCCCCCTCTCCCCTTCCTGGGCTCCTCTTTGCTGCCAAGACCCACATCCTACCATTGACACCCACTTCCTGTCATCCCGGGGAGGCAGGACTCTGGGCCCACTGACCAGGGGTGATGCACGAGCTGTTGCTTCACCTCTCAGAGCTTCTGGAAGCATCAGCCATGCCAGTCCCAGCCCCGCCAGCTTCCCACTCTGGACGGGTCCCCTAGCATCAAGACTGGAAATGTTCCCATTGATCCTTGAGGCACTGCTTCTAGGTGCCCCCCCAAGATGATGATGTCGTCCTGGAGCCCCACCTACCACAAGCCAGGGCGGGCCTCCCAGACTCAGCCCCCATAGCCCACCCCCCTTCCCCCTACTGAGAGCAGCACAGGAGGCAGGCAGTTCCCACCCGGGCTCATGTTCCCCCACCAGGGGCGCATCTCGGCCTCCAGCCCTGGCTCTTTCCTTAGTGCTCATTTTATAGACGTCGTTGCCTTTCTTACGGACGGACGGTCACTTTTAACTAGTTCCCCACCCCCACCCCTGCTGGCCGGGGACGCAAAGTGTCATTTGTAAAAGGAAAAAAAAAGTTGCATTTGTTCACTTTTGTGATAGTGTGTCCTGGGGGTGTGTTGGGGAAGGAGGTGTTGGGTGGAAGCCATCCGTGGCCATGTGGGCAACAGGAGGCTGGCTGAGAGCTCTGTCCGCCACCAGCCCCACCCAGCACCTAACTAGTCCGTGGTTTAATAAACGTTAGAAAGAGTCTCTCTTTCCATCACTCAACCAGTGTCCACTCATATTCCCTGGGCTGGGCCCTGGGGCCACAAGGATGAATCAGCACCAGCGTTGCCCCGGGCAGTGTGTTCTTCCTGAAAAGCCCAATAGGACGGAGAGGTGGCATGGGGGGGGGGGGGGGGGCGGATTACGTGGGGTTGGGCTGCACCTACAGCAGCTTTCACCCTGTCCACCTTCCTTATTTCCTCTCTCCCATGAGCCTACACGCCTCTGCCTTTGCTCAGACTTACTCGGGGACCTTGCCCTTGCCCTCATCTCTACCTCTCAACTCTTCATGCTCATAGACCCAGTTCCTATCTCACCTCCTTCCGAAGTTCCCCCTGAGGTGCCTCCACCTCCCTCTTCTGAGTTCCCTCAGTCCGTTCCTTCTTGTCATTTCACTGCTGAGGCAGCCTAACTCCTCTGTACACCTCCAGTGACAGGGGAGCTCATGTCCAGCTCAGCTGAGTGACTCTACTCTCAGCAAATTCTTCTAATAGGCCAAGATCTGCAGGGATGTCCATCACCATCATCCCCACAACCACAGGTCACCCCACCTCTGCCCTAAGGAGTCCCACATTCTCTGGTTCCCTGGGTTGGGAGGGGCTGGAAGGACACAGAGGACACCTAACTAAACCGCACAGGGCGCTGTGAGCCCTGTGGGCGGGTCAGGAAGGCGTCCTGGAGGAGGCTCATCCATCTGCACAGCTGAGCAGGACAAGTGGGCCTGAAAGAAGGGCTGGCACGTGGGAGGGGTTATAGGTGAGCAATGGCGCAGCATGCAGCAACAGCAGATAGCTACCTGGATAAGTCCTACTCCTGTGTTTACTCTTCTCTTTCATTTATTTAAGTGCCAGTAGTTGTATTTATGGGGATTATTGTGTTTCTTGAGTTAGGCAGGAAATTCTCCCCGTGTTTACTGTTTAATTCCACAAGCTATTTATATTATCTTGTATACAACCCCTTAGTCAAAATATTCTGAGTTAGAGATGCCAACATACATTTCTGTCTCTTGACATAGACGCCTGGGTGTATATATAGCATGTATATATAATCATTATATACAGAATTCAGGAAAGCAGAGGAAAATAAACCCTGAAACAATTTTCTAAATAGATGATTCTTAGAAGCAGCTGTTTCTCCGAAGCGGAGCGATGGTTTGTGGCACCCGCCCGTTTGCTCAGGCAAAGAATCGACAAAGAGCCCTACTCTGTGCTGAAAAAAGCCGGGCTCCCTCATTAGGGTGAGGCACACACGACACAGGGGCTTCTTAAGGCGACACGACTAATGGTTAAGATGTGGGCTCCCAAGGGCGGCTGCCTGAGCTCAAAGCCCCGTATGCTGCTTATGGCTGCGTGGCCTGGGGTAAGCCACTCACCCTCTCTGAGCCTCAGCTTCCACATCTGTAAAATGGAGATGGCAGCTGCCTCTCAGACTCGTTGTGGGGAATATAAGTCAATGCACATTAAACACTTAGAAGAGTGCCTGGCATGTAAGTGCCGCATCCTATCTAATAGAAGAGTAATATGCAGATTGACCATCACTCCGACACACAAGATGGCTGCCCTCATGTGCTTAAAGATCCTGACCCCATGTGGACACAAGATGGCCAGCAGGGGAGGGCAGTTGGGAGGCACCAGGCCAGCAAGGGAGGGCAGTTGGGAGGCACCAGGCCTGTAAGGGAGGGCAGTTGGGAGGCACCAGGCCTGCAAGGGAGGGCAGTTGGAGGCGGTCAACCCTGTAGGGGAGGGCAGTTATGGGTGACCAGGCCAGCAGAGGAAGGAAGTTGGGGGCAAACAGGCTGGCAGGGGAGCAATTAGACATCAAACAGGCTGACATGGGAGTGGTTAGGGGGTGATCAGGCTGGCAGGCAGAAGCTGTTAGGGGCAATCAGAAAGGCAGGCAGGCAGGCAAGCAGTTGGGAGCCAGCCGTCCTGGATTGTAAGAGGGATATCTGACTGCCCATTTAGACCCGATCCCTCAGGGTTCATGTAAACGGGCAGTTGAACATTCATCGAGGGGTCCCAGATTGGAGAGGGTGCAAGCTGGACTGAGGGACACCCCCCATACCTCGTGCCTGAATTTCGTGGCCTCTAGTAATAAATAATACAAAAAAAATTCTTTTGTCAAACTGACATTCTCAGGCAGGGTCTCCTCCCGGCCACAGATGGCTCAGCAGATGGTTCCATCCAAGTTGTTAGGCTTCGAAATGTGTCTGCGGAGAGTGTCCACAATCCCCTCACACAGTGCTTAGGAAATGCCCTCAGGGCCCTCTTCCACAGGCCTGGCAGCCCCTGATGGAATGGCCATCCTGCTATGACCTAAGGGGCAGGGAAAACCCTCCCCTCTCCCTGCCACCCTCCTCGACAGCCCTGCCCTGTTTGAAGTTCCACCTCTCCTCTTTGGCTCAACCTGTGGCCGTTGCCTGATGTCCTTGCTAGATGGGCAGGGGCCCAGGACATCAAGAGCGTGACGGGGGGGGGGGGGGGGGGGTGTCAGAGACAAGTGTCTGTGTGGCAGTGGGGCATCCATTCACTAACTAACGAGGAGCCTGGCCATCTTCTCCAAATATGAAGCTCCTAAAAAAGATTTTAAGGTGCTATATTGATAAGACACTTGTTAAGAATATGATGGCATGCCAAAACCGGTTTGGCTCAGTGAATAGAGGGTCAGCCTGCCGACTGAAAGATCCCAGGTTCGATTCCGGTCAAGGGCATGTACCTTGGTTGCAGGCACATCCCCAGTAGGGGCTGTGCAGGAGGCAGCTGATGGATGTTTTTTTTCCTCATCAGTGTTTCTAACTCTCTATCTTTATCCCTTCCTCTCTTTTAAAAACCAATAAAATATATTTTATTAAAAAAAGGATTAAAAAAAAAGAAAAAAAAAGAATGTGATGGCAGCGGGGAGACTGTGAGACCCACAGAGAAGGTGGCTGACAGGTACGTTCTCTTACATAGTTGCCTTTCCCACCACCCCGTGTGATACCCTGTCAGCCTGGCGGCTCTCAGTGACCCCCACCCCCCAGCACTGTCACCCTGCACAGAGCCTTCCTCCTGAGTCAGGGCTGGGCCTGTGACTCGCGTTAACCAATCCAACATAATAGACGTGGCTCTTAGCCAGCTCCACACCTAAGTCTTTGGAAGGCCTGTCCGCTTTCACTTTTGCCATCGGAAGCTGCCGCGTAGGCGTCTGGAGAGACCACGTGGAGAGCCTGGGGAGAGGCCGGTCACACGTAGGGCTAGTGAGAGCTGCTCACCTCGCGCTCTTGGGAGACAGAAAAGCTCAACCAACTGGCACCCAAGAGACCTCAGACCCTGGGCCGACCTACTAGCTTAACGCACAGGAGTGACCACGACAGAACCAGCAGCAGAAGGTGCAGCCAGCTGACCCCAGCCCAGACTGCAGAATCATGAGCAACTTGAACCTGTCCTTGTGCTAAGCCACTCTGCTTGGGAGGGGCTTCTTACGTGCCAACCAAAGCAACCTGGTCGCCAGCCCCATGTCCTCCCTGCCCTGTTGCCCTTGTCCCACCCTCTCTGGCTCCCCCCCTGCTAACTTTGTGGGGCGTGAGTAGCTGAAAACCCAAAATGTAAAGAAGATGCCAAATGGCAAAGCCAGAGCGTCCTTGAAGACAGCCAGTGCCAAGGGGCCGGGCAGAGAGGCACAGTTGAAAGCAAACACATGTCCTGTGTTTTCAGGTTTATGAGGTGCTACCTGCCCATGAGTTGGGCTCTTTTATTTTTGTCTCGCAGCCACCCAGCAGGCTTGGCCTGTCTGCTCTCCCCCCAGGCATCTCCCCCAGCCCAGGCAGATGACTTGCAGGTCCCTGGACAGACCCACTTCCCTACTGCAGCTGGGAACTGAAGGAACAAAGACCTAAACCCTCTGTCCTGCTAAGGTGCCTTCTTCCCACAGGGACTTGCATGAGGGGAGCTGAGGCCGGGGGGAGCCCAGTCCCTGGATGGGGCTGGTAAGAACTGCTCAGAGGAGAGGAGAGGCGACCAGCGGGCAGCTTGTCTGGAGCACAGGGCACTCCCAGCCGGTCCTGGGAAAGGCTTGGGTTTTGGATGCTTCCCGCAGACTGTGGACAAAGTCGTACTTAGCTCAAGCTTTAAAAATACTCTCTCTGCACAGACACAAACACTGTAATTCCCTTGAATTGCTCCACCTTCCAGAGAAATCTGACAGCGTGTGCAGACACGCGAGAGGGGGTGGGGACCAGGATGGGTGCTGGGAGGGAGTGCGTCTCCCATCCCTAGCAGACCTCTCAGGAGCGACCCCCCCGGGACCTCCCCTTGCTGGCCGTTCCAAAGGAGGGTGACCCTCAGAGGAGCGAGGCTGGGGGCAGTGACTGCTTCCTGGTCCTCACACCCTCCAGCCTAACCGCCTCCTGCTTACCCTCCTGTCTCCGCCTCTGTGCCGCCTCCTCTGGAAGGCGTCCCGACCACCTCCCCCATGCTACCCCGGGACAAGGTTAGATGTGCTAACCCCGTACCTTTGTCTTCCCACAGTTACACGCATCACATTTATCTTCCGTTTCTTTTTCCAGCCTCCACTTCACACTGAGGGCAAACACTGTGCCTCCTTTGCTCCCCAGAGGGCCCCCAGCATTCAGGCTAGTGCTGGGAACACACTTGGTTGTCAATTCACACCTGATAAATGGATAAACAGGATCTGCTACATCCATGCTACCGATGGTTAAATGAAGGCTCAGAGAGGTTAGGTGACTTCCCCAAGGCTGCACAGCAAGCTCATGCCAGAACCCAGGGCTTCCAGTTCCTCAGTGATAAGAACCTCCCTCTCCTGCTCCTCCTTTCTCCCTCAGACGGCAGGTGTGTGCGCGGACAAGTCTGAAGCTGGATAGGACAGGAGTCCCCCCTTACCCCACCCCACCCCATGAAATTCCACCTCTTCCTCTCCAGCTCCCTGATGGACTGCCCGGACTTCCTCCCAGTGAAGGCTGTGCCACGTCTCAGTAGCCGTCCAATAGCGGCCTCCCTGGCTGTGAG